TCATGACAATGCTATTTTTTATGCTTGTTAAAATTTAATTAACACAACATTTGATAATATTTTAGGCAAATATATGAACAAATGTAAAGCAGGCATATAGGCAAATAACCTGTAGCAAGCACACTTTCCTGAATATCAGGAGCTAAATAAAGCTGACTATTACCAAGTTAATGAAGCTAAGATCATATTTGCATCTTTAGAAGCTGGTTGTATCTGACTTTCTACGAAGTCGGCTGATACATTATAGCTGCTAATAAAGAACTGATTTCTGGCAAGCCTTAAATACATGTTACTTATGTCTAGGGTCTCCCCACTATAGTGGAAACAATCACCTATTTTTAATGAATTATGCTGTACAATCTACATTTTCACTTCATTTATGGAAAAAAAAGGCCTCTAGCCTTCATAATTATGATATATTTTAATAGATGTGAATCAGATGAAAACTCAGATTGATGTCTGTTTTATACTGAGGGAAGTAGCTCTGAGGGATACATAAATGGCTGCACGTTGGGATTATGACACGTGATGTTTTTGGTGTGAACGTTGTGCTGTTTCATAGTGGCATATTTTAACAGAAATGGAAAGGAATATGTGTTGTTGTCATTGCAAGTCTGAGTGAGCTCAGGTAAAGCAGACGTGTTTTGTCAGGGGTTTCTAAAGGATGCAGTGAGGAATTAAAGGCTCAATGCCATGTATGTCCAGAGTTAACTGAGTTAAATGCTTAGATGAAATCAATAGTACTTTCCCAAGTATAAATTTATGCATTTTCATAGTAGTTTAAGATATTTATGACACCATGTAGAGACTGGATATATATAGTGGGATATGTCGCTGTATTGTAAGAGAAGTCCAGTTCTTCCCCAGCATGAAAAACTTTGGAGTACGGTTTTAGAAGATGCTTTTCTTGTGGTTTTGTCTTCATTTTCAATTAAAATTTTCCATTTGTCTGTTCCAAGTATGAAGTAAAACAGGCTTTAAAAAAAGGCAAGCCATTTCCATGCTTTCATAAATATCTAATTTTTTTAGTCCTTTCAAAGTTGGGAAAATCACTAATACAATTCATAAGTTCACCAATTTTAAAAAGCAAATTAAAAAATGTGATATTGTGCAAAATAGATTAATACAATTTGGATCCTGTGTACTTCACAGCATAGGGTTGACTACAGCATGTGATACTGAAAGAATGAAGAGAAAGACCTGCACTGCTTTTCAAAGTTCCTAGCAACATTTCTGTCTGTATTTTATCTTTTTGCTAAGCTATAGTGTCAGTCTGGGCAGAATTGACCCCGCAGGTAGCTGATATTTTCACGTTCCAAAATTATGTATCTGTTTGGTCTCTTCCTTGCTCTTACAAGATATGGCAACTTATCAAAAAATGTGTCCAGACCCATACATTCTCCTGTGACTTCTGCATCACTAAAACTGGGAATGAAGAAATTTTTACAAAAATGTATTGGAAAAATAGAAGCCATATATCACATTTAAGGTGACATATAAAGACTTCTGTAGCTGACAGAGAAGAAGTCCAGCAGGTCACTGAGTGATAATGTGAGTTAATGGCAAGACCATGAGCATTGAACCACCTCAACTTCTCTGTTTTGTAGCAAGTGAAACGAACACTCTGTGTGTGCACAGAATGTTATCAGTTAGCCACATTTATAAGTAATTTTTGTAAGATATTAAATTTTCTGTGAAGAGCATTCTTAGAGGAGTAAAATGGACAGAAATGTTGATATCGGACAGCTGAGTCTGATATCAACAATAGGGCCAGGAAGTGGTTTCCTTGCAGGTACTCCTGCCTTGCACAACTGATTTCTAGCAATAGAGCTTTACCACTACCTTTCATTTAAAAGGCGCAGTTTGTGAATGGGTGCTATACCAAAATGTATTTTTTAACACAGAATTCCAAACAATCTGGTTTAGAATAATCTTTGGTGAGAAAGCCTGTTAAATACATAAGGAACCTAATGGAGCATCAGCATTCAATGCAATTCTTGATTTCTTTTTCTTCCTATCTTTCTGATAGTGCTATCAAAATCCAGCGCTTCTTTGTGTCATCATGCATTCAAAGCCAGTTTCTAATTTGATTTGCTAGTTAAATCTCGTGGAGTTCCACTGAAATATATATTTTTAAATTTTGTTTTAAATGGAATCTTAACTCTTTTCTAGGGATCGTCATTCTGATTCCAGCAGTAAACTAGATGTTTTTCCTGGCAAAAAGGTGAAGAGTGACAGTACCATCTCATGGTTATAAAGTTGTGTAACACTGTCTAAAATATGTTATGGCTTGCTAGATTTTTTTTTAATTGTCTAAAAGCACCTTCAGAGTCCCAAGAACTTGGGATAAGAAATACCCATTTCAGTGGGAATGGGAAGTTACATGATCTGTTCCATTCACTCCTGAACTCGGCATCCTTATGTTATTTCAGATTTCTCCTCTCATGTATTTTTATTCCATTAACCTATTCAGTTTTGCAGAGCAGTTAAAGATATGCTTGTATCATATTCCAGTATTGCTATCTTAGTGTCTCCATTAGAGAACATTCTGGGAAGAGGGACTTGGACCAGTTCATTAAGTGACTTTAAGAAGAGAAAGTATTCGACATGGAATCGAAAATCTAAAGTATATTGGAGAAGGATACTGAATATAATGTTGTTAATTTTTACTCCAAATCTGTTATCCTAGTTCAGTCATATTTTGCTGGATTTGCTTCCTAGTTGTTTAGAGTTGTTATAATCAGACTTATTTTGGATGACTCATTGTGTTTTTATGACTGTTTTGTTGTAGAAATAAAAATACCTGGAAGAGGATTACATCTTTGTATATGTCTTATGCTGCAACTAACAAAATATTTCTTTTCTGTCTTCATTGAATTATTATTATATTAATGATTCAATAACTCTACTGCTTTGTTGGTATGATGTTATGTTTTGCCCAGCTGAATATATTGTTGAGAAGGAAATAATACTGTCAGAGTCACTGCTTAGACTATATTTAATTGTACTTCACACCACAAAGTCATGTGTCAAAACTGCAACTAATGATCCTGTTTTTTGTTTCCTGGGTACGTGGTTAGTCAGCTTTATGTTAATACCATCTGTCAGTTCAAGTAGAGGTGTGGTTAAAGGTTTACTTTTGATCATGAAGAACAGAGGAAACATGACTTTACTTTCAGAAAATATGTACACAAATACATATTTTATAAGCAAATGTAGAAAACAGCATTTCTGAAATACCAGTCTAGACTGGACAGTAATATGCTAAAGTGAAGATGAACACAGAAAAATACATTCTAGTTGTTCATAGCTTTCTTGCATGAGTTTGTGATTTAGCATTTTCAGTAGTGATTTTAAGCAAGGCTTTGGTGTTAAACTTACTAGTATGTTTTTGTGTTTGTTTTTTTTTTTTTCCTTGTTTTTTGTTTTTTTTGGGGGGGGGTGAGGGGGGAGCGGCTAGTCTGCGTATGGAGTGGGTGGCATTAAACTTAAGTAGAAGAATTGAGTTTGGAATCCCAAGAAGACATCATGGATACCAGAGAAGGGAGAAGTCGATTGTTTCTTTTGAAAGCATAAATTTACAGAAACTTTTCTGTATTGTCATGTAGACATGGTTACTCAGGAAGTATGCTATACAAATTTACTGGTAAGTAATGAACAGGGTTATTACAGCCAGAAATCAGTATTTGTGGTTTGAAGTGTAGCTCAAAGATGACTGTGGATTAGACTTAAGGAGCAGCTACAAAAAAAAACAAACCCAAAAAGCAGAAATAAGAGACTTAGAATATTGCAGGTAGAATTAGTATTTAAGGATGGACTTATACAGACCATGGACCTACATATTTTAGTTTACTTTTCTTTTACTTAAATCTTGTCTCAGTTATAATTGCTCAATAAACTCAGTCAATGTCATTGTTCGGCACTTAATGTTGAGTCGGAAGAGCCTAATTGTGTATTAGTAAGAAAGGGAAACTTCTTTCAAGGTAGAAATACTGGTATTCGGGGATTACAATGAGAAAGTGGAAATTGTTTTAAGTAGGTGTGGTGGCTACTTTCTTAGCAAAAAAATGAAGAATTTGGCAGATGGATGCTTTTCCTCTTTTCTAGGTTGGGTTAAATTGCTTATGGACCAGCCCATTGCCCTTTATGAGTTACTGAAGCATTACTGTTCAGTGTACTCAGTAGATGTTACTGTTTCATAGTAAGAACAACAAGAAATGGATGGAGTGGAAGTACATTTTATATATATTTCTTTTTATAGTTATAGCTATAGTTACATTTATTTAATCTTATTCGTATCCTAGCTTACAGCTTTTAAAAATGTGGCAGCCAACATTTGAATGAACAAATGTTCCAAACTCCTGATCAAATGTCATTTGCCTTTCTGACTTGTTTTGCATTACTTTATGGCTTACGGTTTTATTGCGGTTTCAGAAATGCAGTGGCCTTTGAACTATAAAAATCACAAACTTAATTTTGTTTAGAAAGGAGATGACTGAAATGGAGAACTGTAAGCAACAGAATCCAGTTCAAGATTGTTTTCTTTGGAAATTTGGTACTCTGAATGACATAATGGCAGGGGGTTCCTGCCTTGGCAGGGGTCTTGGACAAAATAATCTTCAGAGATCTCTTTGAACCCTATCAATTCTATGAGTCTGTGATAATGGTTATGCAAACTTCCCATAAGTCCTAAGCAAATTCTAATATTAAAAAGTCTTTTCAGCTACAGTAAAAACCAGCAGCCTTTGACTGCCTTTGTTACAAATGCTGATCAGGAGGGAGTGGATAGGGTAAGGAATTTTGCACTGCTTCATTTTGCATTGTCTCCGAGTGTGCTGCATTTTATACTGGTGACAATCACAGCCTTTCAGTCTGGCCTGTTGTACAAGCAGCAGGCCAAGACCCTTCCACATATGTGGTGGGTTTTATGTGTGGTGGGTTTCTTTTCTTAATTGCATGTTTCTAGATAAATGTTAACAATTTTCTAAAATTATTTTTAGCTTTAGATCCGGCTAAAGATCCATGTTTAAAGATGAAATGTAGTCGCCATAAGGTCTGTGTTGCACAGGATCAACAAACTGCTGTTTGCATTAGTCACCGAAGGCTTACGCACAGGTAAATACTTTAAAAGTTAATCCTATAGACTTTTTATAGCATTCATGACTTGACTATAAACCATAAACACACTATAATTAGTTTGGTTATTAAACAACATATGAACAGAGTAAGAGTGGATTTTAGAAGTAATTATGTATGCATGATTTGATTAGAATGTTCAATATTTGATTTTTTTTTTGATAGGCTGGTAAACAAGAGGGTGTACATATTTAAACCTCATAAGTTGCTGATACAAATGCATTTACGGGAATGCCTACTGTGTCATTGCCAAATGAATATAATGATTATGATAATGTTCTGCTGCTATATAGTACTTTGACTTCATCACTTATATTAAGCTAGAGAACTCAAAACTGCCTGTTAAAGTGTAGGTAACAGCCTGTTGCAGTATAAATTGTTTTTTTGCATGTTGGGGTTTTGTAGGTTTTTGGTTTTCCTTTCTTGTTTCTTTCTCTTCTATGAATTTGAGCAGATTGTCCATTCTTTGCATTCCGGACTGGTTCAATATGTGGAACAAATACATGATAAAGTTATTCCAGAATCCAAATGCAGATTTTTTAATTTTTTTTTTTAATAACGGTTCCAGATGCTCTGTTTATGTAGGTCTTACAGTAGCAAAATATCAATGTATTTCTGTGGCTTATCTGAGGCAGAAAGTTTTGTATGTAGGGACCTGAATCGTATGCTTAGTTGAGTCATGAGATTGTTGTTTGTTGAGGAGATGGGGTCAAGTTGCAGTTTTAACGTGAGGTTGTTCATTTTTTTGCACTTCAGAAAGGCTAAACTTCAATAACTTGATTGAAATAAGTGTGTGTTAAAGTGCTTAACTAAGTAGGGGCTGAAAAGAACTAGGTAAAATAAAAGACTTTCTTGTCTGATGTAAGAGGATCATTTCAAGCTTTTTAGACAGCCAGCAGTTTTATGAATAATATAAGGAACGTTCTTCTGAGTGTGTAGTTGTGTTAAATACACTCATCTGTAGCTTTTCAAACAGTCAAGATGGTACAAAGTGAAAGGAAAGGTTTAAACTGTTATTGATCTGCAGTTGCAATTAATTAGCAAAAAAGCTCTACATTATTTGAAGAGCTAAACTGTTTATGTCAAACAGTCTCCATGTAGACCTAGACAATTTGGTTTGATAGAGTACTGCATAAGGTGCAAGAATTATTAGCAGATATAGTGAGGTAGTCTAGCGTCAACCATATGTGAACTATCAGGGGAATACGTCAGCTGTGAACAGACTACACAATTTCTGAGAGGTATCACATACATCCATTGAAAACAGTGAAAAAATGACATCTCCAAGTTAAGTATACATGTAAGGACTGAAAACTTTTTTAGACTAGGTGAAGCTGCATACAGTGGTTAAACTAATAAATGTATTGACATTTGTCTTCATATCTGTACTGTTCCTCCCACAGTCCTGGCACAGTTTTAGAAAGGTAATATTTAAAGAGGCAAAGCTTGTCTGGGTATAATGCAGTCTCATAATGGGAAACTTTGGCATCACAGCAACTTTGTGATTTTAATAAGTACTGCAAGTCTGGTCTTGTAAGCCAGGTGAAGCAATAACTGTCCTGAGCCAGGACAGATGTTTTCCAACCTTACATCTCCCTGTTCCCCTATATGATCAGGTTCAAAGAGCAATCAGTTGCTTTGTGCTTTCTTTCTAAAGACGTTTTCTTCGTGTAGTCTCTGCCCTTTCTGTAGTATGATTGGGTAAGAGTATGATTTGCATATTCACAAGCAGGTGTGTCTGCTGGTGCCTTTACCGCTATTATTTTTTTTAGTCCAAGATTTTGTTCCTTTACTCATACCTACAATTTGCATATTGATTTTCACCAGAGCCATCTGTTTTTCCAAGTTCCCAAAGGACAAGTCCACTCATTTATGTCTTGGTAAAAATTAAATGAGAAAGGCTATGTTATCAACTGTCAGGTTATCTACCTGTATCCATTTCTAACACATCAGTCATGTGTATTCAATCTGCTGGGAATAAATCTCTAGAAAGCTTAATCCCAGTAATTTTCCCTTTCTGCTTCATCTGTGTCTGTGTGCATGTGGTATTCTTTAATGCCTGGATAATTTTTATTCTTTTTATTGAAGAAAGGCAGTTGGGGATATCTTCTGGAAAAAATAAAGTGAGACCTTTTCACGTGTTACTGGGAACTCTTCAAACTGTTAATAAAGAACTTGCCCATAGATTTCCCTTTGGGCATGTTTGCTGTATAGATCCATCCATGGATGTTGCAGAGATTATTCCCCAAGACTCTTGCAGAGGAAAAGTAATTTTAAGCATGTGAAGTGATACGGTGGCAAAATTATCCTGAAGAGACAGGAAAGAGGAGATGCTGTATTCCTCCAAGATAAGTAAAAGGTTATGGGCACCTTTGGGCTATGCTATGGAAAAAACCATGAAATACAGTTATAGAATCATAGAATAGTTAGGATTGGAAAGGACCTTAAGATCATCCAGTTCCAACCCCCCTGCCATGGGCAGGGACAGCTGACACTAAACCACGTCACCCAAGGCTCTGTCCAACCCGGCCTTGAACACCGCCAGGGATGGAGCATTCACAACTTCCTTGGGCAACCCATTCCAGTGCCTCACCACCCTCACAGTAAAGAACTTCTTCCTTAGCTGAACAGATTATTCTGTAGTGTCATCAAGTTGAAATTCTCAGATTTACAGTTAAATCCTCTGTTATTAGAAGCAGCATTTGCAAGCAGCCCTATTACCTTGTTCATAAATTTCTGTATATAAAACCTGTCACTCTTTAAAGTAATAACATAGAGAGTTACTTATCAATGAAGGCTGATAATTGTATCAAATGGAGAATCACTTTAGTGGTGTGTGTTTTGTTTTTTTTTTGTTTATAGTTTTTGTTTTTGTTTTTTTTTTTTAGAAAAAACATTTAGAGAAAAAACTCTTAGGTGTGGACATTCCATTATTCTGTCCATGCTGTCCAGGGTGTTCTTAGACTTTTTTGTGTCTGTACGTGCAATTTCCAAACTGTTGTAGCCTTGTATGGATTGCTGAGGGTACCTCAGTACCACAGAATGAAGCATGCAATCGGTGGCTGTCCCAGCTATCTCTAAAGCTGTTAGTGATGTGATATGACATGTTCTCAATAGGATTAGTTAATGTGACAGAACACTATTGATGACATGATTCTGCATGTACTTTCCTAGGTATTAAAACTTGTGTTAGTTCACAGGGATCTTAGCTCTGTGCTCTTCCTGCAGCATGTTTGTGTGGTTTCAGTTTCCATGGCAGCAGAGATCATGGTTTCCCCTCAGTCCTGAGATACTGCACACAAGGCTCATTTCCTTTTCTGGGAGACTGCCAGGATGGCCAGTCCTCTTCTAGCATGCTTCTGCAGTGCTTACAGCATCCTGATGCAAGAGCTTCCTGGAAAGACTGAACAGTAGATATAAATGTTGTAGATTATTGGTCATGAGATTAGTTTGGAGTACTAGAGCTTTAGAAAGTGTGGGGGCATGGTTAGAAGTGCCAGATTTTTTTTAGGTAGCAGGTAGTTGCATTTGATTCTCTGCTAGCTATAACTGTGTTGGAAGCCGTGTTGTGTGTGCTATGCTCTTATCTGTGTCTTAGGAAAGAAAGAAGAAATACATGCAGTAGATGCATTAATATTACTTATCAAAGTACTTCCATGTGGATTGCTGTGGAGAGTAGCTGTCTGCAGTAGAATGCATGATAAATAATTCAAAGTCTGGCATAAAATAGAATTCTTCATTGATTCTTTGAAACTCTGGAGGTTGATGCTAACTTTTGCTTGGTTGTTTACCATCCCTTTGTGCTTTCCAATTATCTTTATTGGTTAAGTGGTAGGCTTTATGGAGAAAAAAGAAACCTATAAAGTGTACACACAGTAATGAAATGCTTTTGGAGTATACTTCATTCAGATACAAATACAAATCGAAGAATATCAGAATACAAAATTGCCAATACTGTGATGCAGTGATGTGAATGTTATGGTGACAAACAGGATGTTCACCATGCTAATAGAAATCTGTCTACTCGTTTTAGTTTTCGATCACTCCACTTTCAGGAGATTCAAATACTTGAATCTCTTGTACTGAGAATCTGTGGGAACTATGAGTTCACCCCTCTGATCTTGGGGAAGAGGAAAAAAAGTTAAGTGAATGCTCAGCTAGAAGAGAATTGGACAGGAAGTGAAAAGGGTGAGTCAAAGGAGAAGGGCTGTAGGTGGCAATGGATATTTCTGAATACTTGCAGTAGAATATGTGCGCTTCGCATGTGCAGAGCAGCAGGCGGTAAAGTTAAACCCTTAAATCTTCACTGACTTGTGGTTGCCACTTTGAACAAAGAAAGAATTTGAGGTGACACCATGACACATAGGAACTCATTAAAGCCATAGAAAGCTGGTAGCTAACTAGGCTCGTAAAAGTGGAGGAGTTACTCCAGCAGCAGTCTATTGTAGGTTTGCGTGATAAGTCCTGATAAATAGTCTGTTAGTATAATCTTAGATTTGGAACAGGCAATTATAATTTGAAGTGACACATCATGTAATTTGCTTGAAGAATAAAATTCTGTGAATTGTAGGCTGCTGTAGTAAACTAAGTAGTGTATAGGTGAAGTTCTAAGCAAGCAGGTTAGCTGCAAGTGAAGAGCAGGATTCTAGAAAACTTGAAAAAACAGAGCAGAGTTGCCACCCCGCAGAGTGGCAGAGAATTTTAATGTGAGCATAACAGTAAACATGGGATAATAGCTGTGCTTTCAGTTGGTTTGCTTCTACTGGAATTTTTATTTTTTTTTCGGTCTGCGTGTTTGTCAAGACAAACATGCATTGAAGGTGAAAGAAAGAGAGGCAGAGGGGGGAAAGCATCTGTTGGCTTCAAATGTTTCTCCTCGCTTTTATCTCAGACCAGCTGCAGGAGAAAATTTACAAATGAGATAAATTCATCTGAGATCCAGTTATTATGAAGTCCATTCCAAGACTCAACTGCTTACT